TTTTTACCCCGCCCCTCTAGACAACGTCTACTCGATGCCTTGAAGAGGGTGGATGCATCTTAGTCTGGCATCTCAGCTGTGATCAATACATCTTCACTTGATACAGACAAAAAAACATAATTCCTGGAATCAAATTTTCATTAAAAAAAGTGTAGGCAACATCATGTGAAATCTCCAAAAGGATTTATGACTGTACATTTAAAAATTTTATTTAAAAAATAATAACAGGGTCATAACTGGGTTTTGCTTCACTTCTTAGAATTCCAATGAAACATTCAGTTGGCTTCTAATGACTCTCGTGTTTCTTGTGCCAGGACCCAAAAGAACATTTGGTGGCTGTCCCATGTCTCATTTTGTATGTGATAACATTTTGTCCAAAGCACTAGAGAAAAACGGCTTTCCAAGAAAAAGTTGTTCCTGTAAATCTCCTTCCAAAGAGTCTTCCCAAGAGGTTGGACTGCTTGAGAAGGTCAGCTTCAAGGATGTATCAACAGCCATGACCTCTGTATAGGATCAACATGACCATGACCTGGACGGTATAATCAGCACGTTCTCAACTCAACACTTTTTTTTTTCGCAAATAACAATATCATCATCCTGTTAAAACATCCAGATTTGTGTGAAGTTTCTGTTCTATTCTGTGGCCATTCTGCTACTGTTACAAATATATCCAAGTCTAAAAGGTTATGAATGTAGTCAAAACAGTACATACTAAATTTATTTACTCTGAGTGGAAAGGCAACTGGATTCATGACAGATATATTAAAAAAATTGTCTAAGGTTTTCAGTACTCTGAAAGCATTAACCAGTCTTTTTTTTTTGTGGGATTAAGGGGGAAATCATTTCCACATATCGTGTCAGATATAAAACAAAACAAACAAACAAACAAAAAACAAAACCCAAAACACTACAGAAAATTTATCAAACTACACATTTTCCTGAAAATGCTGTTGGCTGAGTTTCTCATATCTATTCATACTAAAAGACACATGTCTTAATAAAAAAGCTGAAATATGTAATAATTACTAGCAAAGTAGAAAAAAGGTGTTTTTAAAAACCTACTGAACAGCTTGAACACGACCGCTGCTATTTTGGAAATCTACATGGCAGATAAGGCAATTTGGTAGATTTTATAAACTTTGTAAATTGGCAACTGTTAGGATATTAATGTTAAGACATTTTAAAAAAATTTAAAAACTGAATGATAAAAGTTATCTTGACATAATGAAAATTTTAGAAATCACATGCCTCTAGTATGCCTCCTGCATACTTTTCTGGTATCACAAGTGAACATATTTAGCACCCTAGCCAAAAGATAACTAAAAGTCCATGAATAAGTATTTGTGTGTTGTTTTTTAAAGGAGAAAATAATATTCATATTGACTGTAATGGAGTTCCGGATATCTGGAACTTACCCTGCCCTCTGTCAAAAGAGAAGTAATTACTCTTCCAATATCCTGTAGTGGCTCACTTATGAAGTCTCTTCATGATACTGGCAGAAGCCATTTCCATGTGAATGGTCAGACCTGATTAGATTGTTCAAATCAAGCCCAGTCATTCCAAAGCCATCCACACTAGCCCACTCCCTGCTGCTAGCATAGCTGCATCCTAAAATAAGGTTATGGACAACATCCCACTGATTATCAGAGTCTGCGTATCTCCTTGTCAGACAAAATTGGAGTTTCATCAAAAGTCTGCCCAGTATCCCATCCTCCACTGGTGGTGAAGGAACCATGAATTCCATATACTGAAGATCATCACTCTAAACAGTCAGAAAGGCATCAAATACTAGCAAGAAGGGATGTGCAGCAGCACTCTGCACCAAAAGCCTGCCTCAGTCAATGCGTATGCATCTATTTTACAATGCCTGGAGATTCCAGACAGGTTGGCCCAAGCTACATCACTTAGACCCTACTAAGAGATGTATTAGGGGAAATGGCAACAGAGGTGAACACGGTCCAGTTCAAGTGTCACGTCAGAACAAAAGGATGTTTAGGTTTTTTTATGGAAAGTGAGAGAAAGTTTACAAGAATAAGAGTGGAGCAGAGATCTTCCCTGAATTGAGATGTTGGAAGAACTTGGGAGTAGAGAAAGGGGTCTATTTTATTAATAATCAAATTTTTAGTCATGTAATACCCAGCATTCTATTTTCCTTGATAAAATGGAACACAAGGTGACTAAAACAAAGCTTTAAAAAATTACTGTGTTTCCCCAAAAATAAGACATGGCCTTATATTATTTTTATCTCCAAAAACGCATTATGGCTTATTTTCAGGGGATGTTTTATTTTACAGTCATGCCATCTTCTGGTTGCTACACAATGGTGGGGGTGGGGTTTCACTTAAGTGGGGCTTATTTTGGGGGGTAGGGCTTATATTACAAGCATACTGAAAATCATACTAGGGCTTATTTTCAGGTTAGGTCTTATTTTCGGGGAAACAAGGTAAACTGATTAAATTAAAAAAACAGAAATGTGTGTCTAGGCTGATCTGATCCTGACTTCTTGCTTTTGCGGCAAAAATGGGACCCATGCCTTACAACAAACAGCTCAAACATCTTCCTATTCAAGTAAGCAAGGGACTACTATCTTAGAAGTTTACATGGATCATTAAAGAACACCAAAACCACCTTCAAGACATCTAAAGGGGTTGTATGTAGATGCAACAGCTACAGGAGATAAATCAGCTTGATTATTTTCAGTGGAAAGATGAGATACAAACACACACGTTTTGCCTGTTCTTGCTTCTGTACCTAAATATTCCTGTTCTTAGGTCTCCTTGTGTTGAAACTGTGGCCCAGACATTATAACTCTGCTACTATGATGCATCACGAGCCTTTCACGATGCACTTGGATGCACATTTTCCTAAGAAAAAGTCCAAGGAACTTAGCAGACCTACTCTGGAGCAAACAGGCACAGAACTATGCATTTAGAATATGTATAAACACAAGTTTATCAAGGACTGAAAATACTTATGATGACAGTGTAAATTACTATTCTTGTAATATAAGTTTTCTCTGAAGCATTCCATTAGCAGTATGTTTGTGTTTCATACATTTTTCCATGGCACTTTCAAGATCTGTGTTCTCAAATTACACAACCTTTAAGATGTCTCAAGTGAATACAACACAGATAACACAAGGTGGCAGAACCTTCCTATGGTACATACACCTTATACAACTACTTTTATACTCTTAACTATTATCTGCATTGGTTAGTGACATAGTGAACTCACTTGAGAACCAAGTGCAAGTTAGCTGATAGCCGTGGGTCCGTAAATTGCGTTGTTCTGTTGTTATGGTCAACAAAATAAACTCTGCCAGTTGCTGTATTACGGATCTCCCATCCAGGAGGCAAAGGACCAAGCTCTTCGCAATTGATGTTGCTAAGATCCCTGCAAAAACAAACATAAAATGAAAAATATCTCAGCATTTGGCCTGTGAGCCAAACAAGCATAAACGTAACATAACAATTCCATGAAGCCTGAGTGTATGTATTGTTTCAGAAACTTGATCTGTTCAGCTGGAATCTTTACTCCCAAGAATAATCCCACCAAAGGAAAAGAAAAACATAGTCTTACAAAAAAAAAGAAAGAAAGAAAAACCTCCACTACACATGCCTTGGGAAAGCTTTTATCACATAACCTACATTTTAAAATAAAATAAATTCACCAACAGTAACTGTGACACTGCCTTAAAAATAAACTCAAGTTATATTTGTTGTGATGCATGTTCAAAATTAACCTTTTAAGCATGAGTATTGCATTTTAAAATTTAAGGTGGAAATTAGAAAATTTTAATAATTTTCATGAAAACTTTGCAATGCACCATGTACAATTACAGACAAGTGTAGCAACTAAATGTGATTTTTAAAAATCATTACCGTAGGAGACAAGTTTAAAGTGCCACCAACCAGGATCAGGCAACAACCAGCCCTCAAGTTGTATTTTCTTCCACCCATTTTGGTGGAGCTTGAATGGTCCATAGCCGTTACCACTGTCAAATTTGAAGCAGTGAAAAAAGTGGCATTTTGATTTTGAAAGAACAGGTTACAGGCCTGTAATTGTGGGTAGCGATCTCCCTCAATTGTGCAAGTCCATGTGCCTGGTGGTGATCCCTCAGTTCCCCACATCTGTCACTGTCCACAAATGAACAGTAGTGTGGCAGACTGAGGGGAGGATGGGTGGGTTGTGTGAATTCACAAATGGCCACTCAAAGAACCACAGTTACAAGTAAGGTGCCTGTTCATCTTTTTACCGGCTGGTGGAATGTCACTCCAAGACAGGTGAAATCATCCTTCTCTCAAACACAGCACTGAGTTTGGTCCTGATGTCCATTCAATAATGTCTGATGAATATCAAGGGTCGGGACCATGTTACTGCTTTGCAAATGTCTGTTCACTGTATACCTTTGATAAAAGCTTTGGAAGCTGCAACAGCCCTGGTAGAGCATCCTTTCAGACTGTCTGCTTGCTAGCTGGTAAGATAACCTGATTGCGTTTACAAATCACTTTAACAATCTCACTCATCTTTGGACCTTGACAGATAACCTGTTAGATTTTCGGAAGTGTTTGGTTTCGGAGGTGTGAAATGTTGAAGCTCTATGAACATCCAATGTATGAAGGCGCCACAGAAACTTACTGAGAGTCAGATTTCTGAAACATTATGATGCTTTGGAGCCCAGGGGCTGCCTTGCTGTTGTGGTGAACAAATATACTGTACCTTGATGAAGGAATGGAATAGGCCACTTTCTTTCAGGTGGAAGAGAAACTGCAACACTGTGTGCAAAGAGGGTTGAAAGTCAGACTTTCCGACCGAGTGGGCAAACGAAGAGAACCTTCGCTATTTATATTTGTGGCTATGTCTGGTGGATGGCTTCCTGAACTCATGCATTACTGTATTCTTTTCAGTGTTGGCAAATTCTCCACATTGTCAGTTTTAGCCTGGCTCAGTCTAGATAGTGAATTGCTCTTCTGTTTTGAATGAGTAAATGAGGAAGTAAAGGGAACTGGCAGACTTCTGCTTTCATTTGCTTTATTGACACAATCCAAGGTTGGTGTGGTCACCACAGAGCTATTAGGATTGCGCTGGACTTGTCATGACAAAGCTTCACAATCCACTGTCTCAACAGTGCCTGGATTTCTTTTTGGATGAAAGGTGATTATGAACAGAGTCCCTCTGAGCATTTGTCTATTCTGAGTAACCATGATGTTCAGGCTCTTGAAGGGTTTCAGGCTCTGGTTCTGAGGATTCTTCCTCAGGCAAAAAGAGTCTGTTCCGCCTTCTTAGATACATCCGTGTGTATGTTCATGTTGGGTCTGCTTAGGTCATTGGGACCACGATCAAAACCAAGAGGAGCAGTGACATCATTGTGTCTGTAGAGTTAATCACTCTGTAGGTTGGTGATATGGTTCTATTGTCAGACTTCTCAAGGATACCGGAGGGATGGCAGAAGTGTGCTGTGATGCAGACCCTATGGCCTACAGCAACTTTTCCCAGAGATGGAATCTGAGCTGGGATTATCAGTTTCTAATAGAGGGCAAGGCTGAAAAAGAGGAAGAGAACGGATGAACTAAAGTAAGATGTGAAGTTTAAATTGTGCAAAAAGGCTCTAGGACAAATTCCAAGAAGTTTCCTTATTGGTGGATAAAGAGAACCGAGCCAAGTGCAAGGACATGTGCAGTGGTGGGGAGCTGCCCTAACGGTCTTTTCGCTTTGCGCTCTAGAATGCTCTGACAAGTGTGACCATCCGCATGGGTGATGCATGGAGATCACAAAGAAGTAGTGTTTTCCTTCTTTAAAAAGGCATGTGCTCTATATGTACTTTGCTTAGATACAAAGTCAAGTAACAGTCATTGTGGTCTCAGAAGCACAAATCTGCTTACAAGACAAAGGAAGATCATGTACCTTGTTTTACAGGCAAATGCAGCTTCCTAACCAAAGAAGTCACCCATCCAAGTCACAGACATGGTACCAGAGTGCAATCCCATAACTGCTCAATTATGGATAGTTTCTGCATATATTTATTTTTATTCTTCTTTAAAGTTAGTTTCCCAGTTCAGAAAATACAGTAGCTTAAAATAACATTTTTCTATGGCTGAAACCCTTTTGCACTCAGTTCATTTATTTACCATATTTATATCCTTTCTTTCCTACAAAGAAGTTCAAGGGAGCACACATGGCTATTACACCACAATATTTTATCCTTACAGCAGCCCCACGAGGCAAGTTAGGCTAAGAGACAGTGACCGGCTCAAAGTTACCTGCTGAGTTTCATTGCTCGATGAGCATTTGACCTTGGATCTCTACTGCCCCAGTGCAACATTCTAACAATCAGCACTCTTATCAGAGCAGTACCACAAAGGAACTGAAGAAGTTATTTTTAAATGTCTAAATGCAGCATGATGTACCCAAATAATTTTATATTAAGTAACAAAATGGTAACATGAACAAATATTGTACAAATAGTTGTGATGGAAAGCAAGCAAAAAGAAATTATATAAAAATGGATGCATTGCTTCATATAACGATGCATACAGTTTTAGATTATACTGAATTTATGATGTGAAATATATTGCTTGAAACAAGACAGTCATCAAACAAAGGATATTTCAGACACTTAATGCATACTATCCTTATTAGTTTGATATCTGATACCGAATATTCATATGTGATATACATAATGAGGACTATCATTATTCAACAATCATAGTGTGTAATGAACCAATCAATGTGAATTTGTAACCGACACTGTGTTTCGGGCATCAACCAATATGTATGTACAGGGTATAAAAACATACATGTTGCCATAGAATACTACAACCTAACACAAACTGTTTATTACTGTATATCAAGATACATGCATTTCCATCAATTTTGTTTGAAACAATAAATGACGATTTATACACGTATGAATTCGCCATTACTGTTTGTTGAATATTATTGTTGTTATGTGCCATCAAGTCACAACTGACTTACAGTGACCCTAGTAAGTATTTAAGGAGTGGTTTTACCAGTTCCACACCACACTCCAGTGAGTTTCCATGAAAGACCTATGGAATCAAACCACACCTGCATCCTCCTGAGTTCATTACTCTATCCGCCACACCAAGCATTATCTTGTTGAATATTACTGTATATATATTTATATCTGCTAACATAGTCTATCTTTATATAATCTCTTTTTCACTGTTATATGTATTATGTGTTATATGTATATGTTTAACGACGACGACGTGTATTAGCATTTTGCTAGTGTCACATCACTTGTTCATTTTTGTTTTGCTTATATAAATAACTTTATATCAATGTCCATTAACATTTACAAATATCAATTTTACAACCTGCATTTTAAGTGGCAGAATGGGCTACACCAATAATTAATGGGTCTCTCAAGGAGACAGTCATTAGGCCCATTAGGAAGAAACCAAATTTGGCGGTGGATGACATTGGAAATGATAGGCCCATCGCCAATGTTTTTTTCTTGAGCAATGTGGTGGAGAGGGTGGTGGCAGACCAACTTCAGGCGCTTTTGGACGAAACCAATGCCCTGGATCCATTTCAGTCGGGCTTCAGGCCGTGCTGTGGCACAGAGACGGCACTGGTCGCACTGCTGGATGACCTACTGAGGGAGGCTGATGGGGCAATGTGTCCTTGTTGGTCCTCTTCGATATCTCAGCCGCCTTCGATACCGTCGACCACGGTATCCTCCTGGGGAGGCTCTCCGAGCTGGGAATTGGAACCCTGGCACTTGCCTGGCTCCAATCCTTCTTGGAGGACTGTCCCGAGAGAGTGCAGCTTGGGGAGAGTGTCTCGGCCCCGTGGAGTCTCAATTGTGGGGTTCCGCAGGGGGCAATCATCTCCCCAATGCTGTTTAATATCTATATGAGACCGCTGGGTGGGGGCATCAGGGGGTGTGCAGCTTCATGTCACCAGTATGCGGATGACACGCAGCTTTACAGCTCCTTTTCACCCACTTCAGTGGATGCCGTTCTGACCCTTCAGCGCTGCCTGGAGACCGTACTGCAATGGATGCGGCAGAATGGGTTGAGGCTGAACCCGGGCAAGATGGAGGTCTTGAGGGTGGCTGGTTCCTCCTTCAGCAGTCTGGGTGATTCCCTCTCTTTTGGGGGGATGACCCTTGCCGCAAAGAGCGACGTTCGCAGCTTGGGGATACACCTGGACCTGGACCTTATATACACCTGGACCTGGCGCTTACCATGGAAGCCCAAGTGGCATCTGTGGCTCACTCCACCTACCTCCATCTATGGCGGATTGCCCAGCTGCGACCGTATCTTGATGGGGGGGCCCTCACCACTCTAGTCCACGCGCTCGTAATCTCAAGATTAGACCATTGTAATGCACTCTACGTGGGGCTGCTTTTGAGATTGATGCGGAAACTCCAAATGGTTCAGAACGAGGCATCCAGGCTCCTCAGTGGGGTGAGGAAATATCAGTATATCTCCCCCACTCTGGCTGCTCGCCATTGGCTGCCCATTCGTTTCCGCATTGACTTCAAAGTACTAACGATGACGTATAAAGCCCTAAACGGTTTGGGACCTCGATATCTGGCAGAGTGTCTTCTCCCACCTAGCTCTACCCGAATCACCCGACAAAGCCAGCAGGGACGGCTGAGGGGCCTAATGCTGAGAGAGGCCAGGAAAGAAAGAACAAGAAACCGGGCCTTCTCGGCAGTGGCCCCTCGGCTTTGGAACAGCCTCCCAAAAGAAATCCGTCTGGCACCCTCGCTGGATGCTTTTAAAAAACATTTGAAAACATGGTTTTTCAGGCAGGCTTTCCCTCCAGTCAATTAAACTGATTTTTCACTTTTTCTTTCCTTTATTCTTTCCATCTTGGCAAGGCTTTTATATAACTGCAAAAATTTTAATGTCCAATGCTTTTAAGATGTAATCTGTTATGTTTTATGTATGTAAGACGCCCCGAGTAGACCTGGTCTAGAGGGGCGGGGTATAAATCTATTTTTAAAAAAGTGACGATAGTGCTGTGTATATTTTGCACTTTAAAAAATAAGTATTCTGTGTCGCCTCAAAAAGATATCCAAAGACAAGTAAATAATGTATGCAGATTTTTGTTGAAAAATCAAACCAAGCTATATAAGGTACTGAAACATCCTGGACAACTGGAAATTAATTATGTGAACTCATTAGGCACTATAAATACCAAACTGCCCATGCTTTTTTACTTTTCCATTAAAAACAGATATTTTTTGGAGTGCTGGTGTTCCTAAACCCTATTTCAAATTTGAGAAACACACAGCCTGGCCAATACATCTGTTTGACATTATATAAGATGAATATGCTGTTAAATATAAGTAAATGTTTAATTTACACTACAGAAACATCATTCTCTTACCTAGGTACACGAGGGTCGTGCCATGTGCTTACACCGGTCTGAGTATGTAGAAAATACACCTGTCCCTGCTGAGTTGTCCTTTGCTCTGTTCATGAAGAAATATGGACATGAAAATGAATTAAAACACTCAAAACACTCTGAAAATTATATAGAACATATGGGAAACCAGAGATAAATGCACCACGGAAGGGACAACCCATAGAACATTCTTCCTCTAAAAGTCTATCCAAACCTATATCCCTTCGAGAAGAGCTGTCCATGGTTAGACTAGTGTTAACCATTAAGTGCTAAACATGAGTGGAGTGATTCTTATTATACAATATATTCTCCTAACTGGCTATTTTTGTGTGTGTATGTATAAACTGTACTCATTCATACTTGCACTAAAGAGTGAAACAACACAAGGGGATGTATAATTGCCTGTTACATTTTTTCCTAGATCTTTGCATATCTATGGAATGGGTCAGAAGTTAAACTGAGAACAATCATTAACCAGAAGATCTAAATACTTTGCATATTTATGATCTTAGCATTACAAATATAGAAGAACATCTTTCAGAATCTCAAAAAGATCAGTTGTATTAACAAGCTTCTTATCTTTCAGAAGTGCAAGGAAAATGTCTATGTGCACTTTCAAATACAGTGGTGCCTCAACATACGAATGCCCCTACTTATGACCATTTCGAGCTACAACCAGCTCTGGCCGACAAATTTTGCTTTTACTTGTAACGGGAGCTTCCCACTTAGGAACAGAAAAGGCAGGGAAAAAAGGTGTGAAATTCAAATTGCTAACTGTAGGTGGCAACAAGGCTGCTTCTTTGTAGCTCTTTCGCTCCAGCAGTTAGAGAGAGTGTGTCGAAGGAGGCTTTGGACTGACTCCTTCTGCTTCTGAGAACGTGTGTGTGTGTGTTTGCAGAGAGGCTTCGGGCTGCTTTGTAAGGTAAGGTGCTGTTTTCTGCTTTTTAAAAACTGTTCTGAGTGTTTTTGCAGCGTGGTTTTGAACTGGGGGGGTTATGTTTCTGTGCTGTGATGGGTCTTGGGGGGTTTGTTTGTTGGTCCCCCCATTTT